TCAACAGCAGTTTGCCGAGAAGCGGTGAAATAGTTATAATTTGTAGAGAAATAGTAAATTACATATTTAAACGAGGCAACCTTTAGTTATCTGTGTACTACCCGCCGTATCCAAGAGTTAAGAACGAAGTTCCCGAATAATCCTCGAACTTTTTTTTCCGTGTAGAGTAAGTTTGCATACTTAAAAAGTTTCCTATTACAAATATTTTATTAGGATAGAAAAAAAATTCTAAATGGAAACAATTTTAAAAAAATGTTGTTCTTGTTTTATTACTATTGAAGTAAGTTATATACTATAATGAAATATTATAATACACTAATAGCATAATTACTTTTAAAAATAATTGGTAAAAAAACTATAGCTTCTTGTTTTATCATTAGTCACGTCAAAATCAGTGGGTCTTGTCTTTAATGTTAATTATACATGAGAAAATTTAAGGATAATTCATTGTATTGAGGTCTTTTTGCCACTGTGTTCTTGAATTAATTATTATTGTCATAACAGAAATCGACATGGAAAGTAAAATGGAAAATCACAATTTTTTTAGTTATCACTAAGAGTACTTTTATTGTATATATGTATGTCCATTGTCCGTATCATTATTGAGATGAAAAATTTTAATAAATTTTCTTTGCTTTTAAAGTTCTATTTGTTATGTACACAAAATTTTGAAAAAATGTATTGCCTTATGGAATTACCTAAAATTAACTTCAATTTAAAGCAAAAATGAAATGCGTTATCTAATTATTTTTTTGTACTTCGTTTTCAAAAAGGTTTCAGTCTAAAATTTAATTTTTACAGTTCAAGTATTTCAACAGAGATATACTTACTTCGTGTTCTGAAACATCTTTATTAATTTCCATACCTTCGAGTGCAGAAACATCTTCTCTAATTTTTATATCTTCGTGTTCAGAAACATCGTCACTACTTTTTATATCGACATTAGTCTGATCCTTACTCTGAAAAAATTGAAAGCAGTATGTATATACCTGTAGGATACGTGTTAGAAACTAGTTAGATTTATTATAATTTGAGAGCAGGCATATCACAATTAATAAAGATGTCTTATTTTACAGAAAAATTAAATCCAGGGTGTCTACTATTTTTGTTCAACAAAATTCCCGGTTATTTCCCGGTTTTTTTCTCATCAAATTTAAATTTATTCAATTTTAAACATAAATAAATCTACAAATTGCTTCAAAAATTTTTATTTGAAATTTTATGAAAAATAAAATTCTTTGGACAAGTTTCTTTAAATGTTTTGAAAATAATGTTTTTTAATAATTTTAATTAAATATTTGGCAAATAATTGAATGAAACAAACAATTTTTTCAATTTTTAAAATAATGTTGTCTGTTAATAATTATAATTGAAAATTTGATTGATTCAATTTTATTTAAATGTATTGATACTAATTGAATTTCTGCAAAGGATTTTACTATTTATAAAAGTAATATTTTAATTCTTCAAAAGAATGTTATAATTTATAAAAATAATTAAATGTTTGCGTCGAATTTTATAGAAATTTATGAAAATAATTATATTATTGTGATGAATTTTGAAAAAAATAATATTGAAAAGAATTTAGTAAATCTGAAGAGTTTTGCTATTTATGTAAATAATTGGATACTTTCGACGAATTTTAATGAAATTTTTAAGAAGTAAAATGTTTAATTTGATTAAAATTGTAATAAATATAGTTAAAATTCTGCAATGAGTTTTACTATTTACGAAAACAATTGAATATATTGCGAAAAAATTTTTAAAAATAAAATTATAATTACGGTGATTAACTTCCCTTGCTTATTTTCGAAAAATTTAAAGAAAATTCTTTAAAAGAATTTAATTATTTTAAATAGTTTCAATTATTATTTATTAATTATTAAATTAAAATACTTTGAAAATTCTATTTGTTAAAAACTTTGTAATGCAATTTTTTACCAAATTTCATTATTTTCAGTTCAATTTCACAAAATTTCTTTTAATTCGATAATTTTTTTAAAATTGATTTACATACTATATTTGAATCAGTGACTTATTATTTACTATCAAATTAATTATTTTTAAGTAATTCAAATTTGAAGAACAGTATAAATAGATTCGAAAAACAAATTTAAATAATAAAACTTTTTTCATTTGGTGAAAATATTCCCGATTTGGCATAAAATTCCTGGCTTATTTCCGGATTTTTCCGGTTAGTAGACACCCTGCAAATCTGAAGTCTTGATAATTATTATTAGAACTATGTAAAATAGGTTTGTACTTACAGCTCGAAGTTTTTTGCTGCTTCAATTCTATAACGAGTTGTACGAGGCAATTTTGCATCGTCATTTTCCAAAACTAATTTGTATCTTTTCTTTTCAGTCATGTCGAATTATATTTTATTTTACAAATCGCCAAGCTAGAGTCAAGAAAGTAATATCTTTTTCAAAATAGGTGCTCTAATTTACGTAATCCAATACATTCTTCTTCTGGGCCAAGTGTCAGAACTTTAGTAGATAAAATTTGATTTATCATTTACGTTGTACAAACTTAAATTTTCAATTGTTTTGAATGGACCGTTGTTAAAAATATTTTAGAGTTGTGTGACTTCACTATTTATAACGATGCAGGTTTGATATTTATAAATTTCAAAGAGAACTCGAAAAAAGTTGAAGCATGGTGTTCAGGTGTGATTTCCAGACCGTTGCAACTCTGAAGACTGTACTGACTCAAATTATGTGTGTTGTTTGAATTAGAGTTGGGTACAGAGACAAAACTCAACAGAATAAATTTTAAATCAGAATAAAACGCACTTATTTAACAATCACATGCAATTTCCGTAAATTAAAACACGTAGTAAGTGGTTTTCTCACAAAATTACACTGATAACTGTACAATAACGAGGTCTAAACAAGATTAAAAAACTATAGCTTTCAAGATGCTTTGCCGTCTGCTGTAGCCTGAAGGTGAGTTCACAATATTTGCCAACGTTCAGCTGGTTCTACAATAACTTTTTTCTTGGTTCGTGTCAACACGAACAGAACGCACTGTGAACAAAACGATGCGCGCGCAACAATTTTAAGATGAGGGTGCGATTCCATGTGTGCAGAATACGTCGAACGAAAACGCCAACGCACATCTGCTTCGCGAATGTAAAGCATGAGTTAGAAGAGGAGACAAATATATCTCTAACCTTTTCTAACCTTTGCATTGCGTTCGCGAACGACATTCTCGAACCTATTGTGCGTTGGCCTAAAGCAGAAAATCATGAGTGCAACAGAGATAAGTAGATATTGTTGTTCTTTTCACTCTCATGATTTTCTGCTTTCGGTCGACGTATTTTGCTTACATAGAATCGCACCCTGAGATATATTTTAGTTTTGCTAATTAATGAAGAACAGTAAAGTAATTTGGAAATAATTATTTACATATTTATTAGATATAATTAATTACTTCTTTATTTAATTAGTAAAACTAAAATATACCTCATCTGAAAATTGTTGTGCGGACATAATTTGCCCACATAGCACCGACATTTTAATAAAATTTTATTAAAGCTTTATTTGCAAACTTCGGAGACTTTAGAAGTAAACTTGAGTAAAGCTTGTATAAATATTTAAATGTCCGCCTTGAGTAAATCTTTAGCGCGAAACTTAACTCAAGTTTGAAATTAAAGTTTCGTTAAAGGTTGACTCGAAACTCGACTGAAACTTCAAATTAATGTTTTATTAAAGGTTGATTCGAAACTGGACTGAAACTTGAAATTAAAGTCTCAGTAAAGGTTCAACTTAAAACTTGACTGAAACTTGAAATAAAAATTTCGCTAAAGCTTCGTCTCGAAACTTGATCGAAGCTTTAAATTAAATATTCGTGAACTGTTGGGTAAAAATATTAATAGCTAATAATGAAGTCGATTAAAATGAGAACAAAAAGAACGCATGGAAAATAAAGATATATAAATAAAATGGTAATTAAATGAAATACTTTTTATTTTATATCCCAAACATTATTTTGTATATTTTTTTACAAGTTTTTACAATGTTTTCTATATTCTGGATATAAAACATTTCATTTTAAAGAAAAAAATTGTAAAATAATGACACTTTGTGCTGAATTAAAATGTTGTACAATAAAAAAAGAATAATTATAATTGAATTTAAAACATTAAAATCATTATTTTGTACGTTTCTTTTAAAATTAAAATAGTAAAAGATGATATTCCGAAAAATGTTATTTCTTGATAAATTAAAGCTCCAAAGTAATTAAAAACATTTGCCAGAAGGATTTTTGCGCGAATTGAAAAATTAAACAATCACAATTATTTGATAATTGTGATTTGTAATTGGCGAAGGTTTATTCGGACATTTACTGTTTCGGACAAATGAAAATTTATTTTGCTAATATCTTATTAAACTTACGACTTTTTTTCTAAATTCTTTGCGTAATAAAGTAATTATAATTTAATATTATACCTAGTGTGCTAATTCTATAAAAATTTTATATAATAATTTTTGTAAAACAGCCAAACAACAAATAAATCCAGCTTTTGTTTCCCCCTCAGGTGAAAAAGTTTCCGGGAGTCACTCTCGAGAAATTCTCGGGACTCTCCCTGAAAATTCCCGGGAAACTCCCGGGAGTGAAAAAAGAAAAGAAAATTTTTTTGTATTCATTTGTTTTTTACTCCCGGGAGATTCCCGAGAATTTCTCGAGAATGACTCCTGAGAATTTCTCGGTCTAATTCCCGAGAACATTTTCACAAGAATGACACTGAAAAAGAAATTTATTTGATTCAAATAACCGATTAATTTACTATTATTTATTTTTTATTAAATATTTAATTGAATCAAATAATATTTATTGGAGGTAATTAAATGGTATTTGCTTCAAATACTGAAATTATTGTTTCGAATATTATTTAATTGACTTCAATAAATATTTTTTTATTTAAGTAAATGTTTAATTGATAATAGTCAATTATTTGGTTATTTGAATCAAATAATTTTTTTTCAGTGCATCACTTATTCACTCTCATTATCCTTATCCTCGGTCTCATCATCGTCATAATCGTCGTCATCATCATCTTCAAGAAGAATCTGGGCTTCTTCGGCTCTCCTCTGCTTTTCCTCCTTTGCCCTTTTATATATTCATTTTTTTATTACGGGTGAAAATGAAAAATTTAAATAATTAGTTGATAAAAAGTATACAAACTTCTTTCGTTTCACTTCAGAAGAACACTGCTCCACCCAATTCTGCATCCAATGAAGAATTTCGTTGTTTTCAACTTTCTTTTTATATAATTTTCGAACGGATTCTGAAATATGAAAATCATGACTTCATAATCAAAATTGTAAAAAAGTAAAACTTAAAAACTGAATTTGTTGTCCTAAAAAGACACACATATTTAATGAAAAAATTAAAGGATATTACTTACGAAATACAACTTTATGCATAGATGTTTCGAGAAATGCTGGCTTTTTACCACTTCTTCCCTTATAGCTGAAAGTCATTCCGACCTGTGGAGATAGGATTTTATTCATCGCATTTTTGACGGTCATACTAAGGGTCGTAAACTTTCCAATCGATTTTAACGCTTTTACCTGTAAAAAATAGATTTTTAAAATTATATTTAAAAACGTTATATTAGTGAAAAAGGTTAAGGACTCTCAAGATAATCACTCAAGATATAAGTTTATAAAATAAACTTTTTATGTGTCACCTAGACAAATTAATAATTAAACATGTATTATTATTATTTATTATAGTTAAGTCTCAATGGCTGGAAAATTCTAGTCATCAAACAATTTTATTTGTTATTTATTTCGAGGTAAATTATATCTAGTAAGTTTAAAACGTTTTGTAGTTTAAATTTATTGTTTGGAAATTCAAAATAGTTTCAAAGTTTAAAATATGAACATTTTTTTAAGTGTCACCCTGCTTTTTTAAAATAAAAAATTTGATGGTGATTTATAATTTAAAAAATTTTAATTTTATAATTCTTAAAGAATATTTTTGAAGAACTGACATAAAAATGTATAAAAATACTTACAACTTTAGTAAAAAAAGCATCATCCTTAAGTTTATTTTCGATGAGCTGGACGTCATCTGCTGATGTCACAGGAAATTCAGTCATTACTTCATCAAACTCATCTTCTTCTTCAAAGGGTTGCCTCAGTGTGTTGACATGGTGGTATATATGTTCCAGCAACACGCCCATAGTATTTAACTTTTTAAATATTCTTATATCTTTTTCCGTACCTAGATAATTAAAAAAGAACAAATTTATAAAATATTTCAAAAAAACAAATATAAATGTATCTAAGAATTTTCAATTGAAAAAATGATAATTATTTTACAATTATATCATTTATATAATTAACTTTAATAATAAGTACGTCTTACATTGCCATCCCTATATTAAAGAACCAGTAGAACCGGGTAGAATCAGGAGCCTACTTGCTTTAAGTTGGTTATTGTCACGTAAGTTCCAATTTCAAACCAGTAGATAAGTATTTTCAGCTGGTTTGAATTTGGAATGTCAAGTTCAAAATGAACTAGTCTCAGTTTGAACATTACAGTCAACCGGAAATTCCAAATAGGTTACATTGTACAACATGAACTTGTTTCAACTTGGATATCGATTCACAATTGGAAATCCAAGGTGGTTACAATTGAACAGATAGTTTTGAAAAAAAATATTTGTGGAAAAAATAATAAAAAATTCTTATGACCATTAATAACTTTATATTCTTAGCACGCTCCAAACATACAAACATTTTAATTAAACTGGAAGAATTAAATTAAAACTTGTACCCTATGGGAATCGAACCCCGTACCTATGACCTATCTATCTAAACGCTTAACGACCGCGGCTACCGAATCGACGTGAGAAATATTTTTCGACCTGTCTATATAAACTGCAACTTTGAAAAACGTAAGTTTATGTAAAATATTATAATTTTTGTAAGTACCTATAAAAATACAAGCAGAAATTAAAATATTTATAGAGATTTGCAAATATATGCTATTATGTAAAAAATTTTAATTAAATATTTAATACATTTTTGCTCAAATGTCATTTGACCGCTTTGTAATTTTTTGCAAAAAATAACATTAAGCGAAATAAAAAACTGAAAATTCGTAAAAATTAAAATTCCCAAAATGACTATGCCAGACCAGCTCAACTGTGTTAAAAAAATTTTATTGATTTTCTAAAATGTTAAAACTTTTATGAATACCAAAATTTTTTTTGGGGGGTTTCAAGAAGAGACTACTGAGTATACTTCCTATGAGTTTCATTGCAACAGGAGCGGTCGAACACATAAATAATTAAAATTGTTTATAAAATTGTTATTAAAAATACGGAATTTTTAAATTTACAATCATGCAAATATTTTCTATTAAAAGAGTGTAAACAATGTTGTGTAAATAGTGTAAGTTTCATTAATTTATTGTAAACGGCTTTTGAGTTATTAATTTTTTTTAAATTTTGTAATATTTTGTTAATGCAAAAAATATAACAAAAATTTAAAATTTCAAAAAACGGTTAAAAGTGTTTTATTGTTTTGTTGTGAACTACAATTTTTCATAAAATTTCAAAATTCACAAAATTACAAATAGCAACAGTAACAAATTCATAAAATTATCAATTCGAGAAATGCAAATTCGCAAAAATAAAATGAGCAAAACAACAATTAGCAGAAATAATGATACACAACAAAGCAGTTTCGCAAAAAATAACAATTAGCAAAAGTATATCTAACAATTTGTAAAACTTTCAATTGCGAAGAATGCAAGTTTGCAAAAATAACAAATTTGCAAAATAACAGTAAACTAAAATAAATATTTGTAAAAATGTAAATTTGCAATAATAATTCTTTGCAAAAATAACAATTGGCGAAAATGACAATTTAATGAATTCCAATTCGCGATTAATCAAACTCTTTAAATTTGAACTTGAAATTCCAAATAGAATGCATCCCCGATTCAAATTAAGCCAAGATGACATTAATCCTTCACTGTGCTATATAAATTTGGAGTTGGAAATTCCAAACTCAAGCTTGTTGATTTTTAATTTGACAGGACAAGTGAAATGTAGTATTCGAGAATCCAAATTGAACCAAGTAGATACTTGAACTTAATTTTTATATTTGGAAATGCAAGCTGATACTTGTAGTACGTGCGAACTTGGAAATACAAGTAGAAATGATAAGATTGGAAATCCATGTTAAAACAAGTCGAAACAAAAATTGAAGAGGACAATCCAAGATAGAACCATTTCAATTTTATCTTGGATATCCGTTTCAGTTACATAAATAGGATTTTCAAGTTAAAACCAGTAGAATTGCTACACGGAAAAGTTTTTCAATTTGGAAAGCAAGTTGACACCAATAGATCCATGTTCAATTTCTACTGGTCTCAACTGGTTCTTTAATATAGGGATCGATCGATTTCTTCGGGCGTGTCATGAAACTTTGTTTTCCGACACCCTTAATTTCTTTTCTGCCTGTACCTGTAGTAATATATGTTTTATAATTAAAATTTATAACTGTTGCATCTATATTTTCACAATAATAATTACCAAACAGTGAAATACCAGACTTCCCTTAAAAACAAAGAACAATTTGAAAATTTTATGAATTATTTTTAATAATGTGTTATATAATAAATTTAATAATGATTTAATTTAAATAATTTTACAATTAGGTACATTTAAAAACTAAAATAAAATATGATCTTCAATATGTGAAAATACTTTGTTCGTAAAACAAACAAAAAAATAGCTGAAGGATGCGTTAATAGAAAGTTTAAGTATCAACAGAAGCGTACCATTACGAAAGTTTCCATCTTCTACCTCTTCTGAAGATTTTGTAGTTGAGGGTTGTGTTTTTAGTTGAGGCGGTGTTTGAGGTCCAGATTGAATTGATGGTCCAACTGATGATCCATCTGATCGTCGCTCTGATGATGGAGGTAATAGTCGAACTGATGGTTCATATACTTTTTAATGTTTTGATTCTACCGATGGTTGATGATTTGGTTTGGGCCTTGGTCGAGATATTGGTTCAAGTGTCAGTGGAGATGAAAGTCTGTCTTCTGGTGGAGTTGATATTGCAGCTTGTTTATGTAGTTCATGATTTTCTTTGGGTATTTGTTTGGATGTTGTAACTACTTTAGACAATTCTCGATCTGTTTCGTCATCTAATTGATCTATTTCTTCAATTTCATCATCGACGTTCTGTTTTTCCTCATCCTCATTAAAATTATTTAAGTTATTAAAGCCTATTTCGTCTTGAAGAGTTCCTGCTTCAATTAACTGTGTGTCAGAAAATTCCTCTCCATCATTTCTTCGTTTATTTATGACTTCCAATTTTTGCACATGAGACTGGATACAGTTATCTACAGAATTTTTAAAAATGATAATTTCATAGATAAGTAAAAAAAGGAGTTAAAATAGAATTATGATTGTATACTAAAAACTTGGAGGATAATTATTTTTACCATTTTTTTCTAGTTTTCTCTTCTTGCTTCTTTTGTCAGCAACTATCTGAGGTATAAAATTGGTTTTCATGCTGGTGCCATCTAGACTGTTCGAATTCGTATCAAAATTATTTTCGTGTATTTTAGAGTGTCTATTACTTCTGCTTAACTTACTCTTTTCTTCATTTCTATCATTATCTGTTTCAACTTCTGTTAAGTCGTAAGAATAATTTAACTTTATAACAACATCTTCATAATTATCTATAAAAATAATTTAAAATTAAAAATTATTGTCAATACATTTATAATTAAATATCTTAAAAGAATAAAATTATTTTCAAAAATTTTAATGAAATTCTTTTTAACAATTCAATTTTTTTAAAAATAATTTTAGTAAAACCCTTTGTAGAAATTTAATAATTTCAATAATTTAACAAAATTCAATTATTTTTAATATCTACTATATCAATCAAATTTTACAAAAGAATTCAATTAGAAATATATTATTAAAATTTGTCTCAAGAATTCCATTACTTTCAAAAGTAATAAAATTCTTCTTCAAAATTCTAATATTTTCAAAATTTTTAATAATATTCTTGGCAAAATTTCAATTATTTTCAAAAACTTTTCTCAATTTAATCAAATTTTTACAGAGATTTAATTATTTTTTAATTAATACAATGTTAATCTAATTTCAGTCAGTTAAAACATCATTAATCATTCATCTGTAATTAAACTTTTGTTTACTTACTTGCATATTTTATAAGTTTTGTAACATGATACGGTAATCCTTCTTTGTTGCACCATGTTTCATCTCGTGTACAATTTTCTGTGAGCAACAATTTTGTTAGTTTGTTTTGGTCTTTTACGGGCGGGAAAAAACTTGCAACTATTTCTCCTTGAGTATTGAAAACTGCCCACTCTGTTCTTATTATTAAAGCACTATCAATAAAATCCACAATTGCGAATTCTGGTACTACACTATTATCAATTTCAGCCATTATATTCTGTTAAAAAAATATATGTATATGAAATATTCAGTATAGTTATAAAATTATTCAAATCCTTTTTGTAAAATTTTGGTTTTTTCTTATAAGCTTTTCTATGTTATTCTATTCTAATATTGAGCAATTTCATCATTTTTTAAACAACGCACAACTTTTTATTGATAAAAGATATAAGGGTAAAATTTTTCGAGAATTATTCGTTATTATACACAACTTATTTTCTTAAACAAAATTTCTGTAAAATTTTGTTTTTATTAAGCAATAAGTTTTACAAAGATCCCATTTTTGAACCTACAGAACATTTAGAAAAATATCACCAATATACCACCACCACCACAAAATATATGAATCAAAACAAAATTAGTATTCATTATAATAATAAAAATTAAATGTTTTTGTTTAACAACATCAAAGTTTCACAATATTTTTTTTTCCAAAAGTTTTTAGTGAAAAGTTTATCTGTTTTACAAATAAATTTGAAGAAATTGATATCTTTTATCAATAAAAATTTATAAGTTAAAAAAAGTTTAACGTTTTATATCTTACACATTAACTAAAATATTTTTTAACTACATTTTATAATTTGGTTAATTATATTCTAGAGAACAAGTTTATTAAAGTTTTATTAAAATTTCTATGACGAACTTCTATGACGATTTGGCGAAATTTAGGTTATAAATTTTGTTTCAGTTGTATTGATGAAATAAAATTGCAATGTCTGGACATATTTTATGAAAAATCAATACATTGGAAAATAAATGAATAAAGATCTTACCTTAATAAGTACTTAATGCATTTATAAGTACTAATTTTTTGAAACCCAGTTGGAGGACACACTACACTCTACACTGTACGCCACGTTTTCTTTAGTCTGCTACTCTTACACAAAATATCGCCGAAACTTGAAAAACACTGGTTTCCCGCAAAAAGAGACCATCAGTTGACATGCGCAGCGACTGTGGAGAACCTTTATTGGCTCGAATTGGACAATATTGTTGGGTCTCACCAATAAAAAGGATTGCGTGTTGACAATCAATATTTAACATGAGTTACGTTTGCGTAACTTGATAGTTTAAATTCACTGTGATGGTAATGCGCTCACATGTGTGCGACAGCATGTTCTTTTGCATCTTTTGTTACAAAATTTGTTTAAGTATTTCATATTATACAAATAAATAAAAAATGGCTATTTGACCTGTAGGGGCACAAGGCCAACAACCAAAACCAACCAACCAACCAACCAATAATTTAGTTGAGTTATATGTACTTATATCTACAAGTAATAGCTACTCCTGTCAGGTAAGGTTTATTGAATTTAATAAAACATGCATGAATAATAGTTTAGCATTCTACTCATTAACCTATAAATTTTAACCTTAAATAAAATTTTGGTATTCCAAAAAAATATTATCGACGGTTTAGACTGCAAATTCCATCCCTGTCAAATTGCACTGCTAATTCCGCATGATATATTGTATTGAAATGTGTCTATATTTTGAGTTATTTTATTTATTACAATTTAAAAACTTTTTACTATATAAAGAAACATGACATTTTTGAGTGAATAAATTAATAAATTTGGATATTCTGCTCTAGTAAATCTTCGCACAACAGACTAATTGATTTTAGCATTATGGAAAGAATTTTATACCAATGATTTAAATTTATTTAATAGTCTGTGATGTTCATATATATAAGTATTTAGCTTTAAAAATTTTAAATATTCATCGTAACTAAAAGTAAAACCCAATAAATAAATTTTCTTTTGTTAAAAAAATTGTATCTTGAAATTTACTTAATCTCCAATAATAATAAATTAAAATAAGTCCACTTATCTTCTTTTCAAAAAATTTATTGTTGCAGTGAGATCTTTGGATGAATCTTTTTATGTCTACTTGATTTCTACGAATACATTTGCGAACGAAGCTTATATACATTTCCATGTACAGTAAGAATTTCAATTTTACAGTTTAAATACATGCAAATCATTATGTTAAATAGAAATCAGAAAATTGTGTATATTATGTAATTAAATAAAAAAAACTTGTTATTTATATTGCAATACATTTTTAGATAAAAAGTGATTTCAACATGTCAGAAACAGCAGCTCCATCAACTGACACATCTGCTGCTACATCAACTAGTAAATTAATTTCCTCAACATTAACAGTAGCAACTGAAGACACTGAAAATTCTCAAAAAAAGAAACAAGGCAGAGGTAATGCTTATAAATTTAGAATCATTTTATTTTCACTAATGTATAAAATTTACTTTAACTTTTTGATAAATCTCTTTAACACAAATTTAAACCAAAAATATTCAAAAATCAAGAAAAATTCTAATTCATTTTAAACTATTCAGAAAAGTATATTACATCGTGCACGATGTAATATTTAGCATGCTCAAGGTTTCATCCAAGTTTTAATTTAATAAATTTTTTTGTAGAAGTTATTAAACTGAAACACCTTCTTTATTTTCATCTTAAAATTTTCTTATAATTTAATGGAGTTAATATTCTTAACTACGAAATAACTTCAAACAAACATTTATTTTGATTATATAAACAGAAAATATTTTCTGGTCTAAATTATATGCAATCATTGTATAAGTAGAATAAATATCAGGGGCAGGTGAAGTTGAATAAAAATTCACCTTCCCATGATTACTTATTCTACTTATACAATTAACCATAGAAAGGATTTAACACAAACCACTTGTTTGAAACCATCTGTTATGTACTATAAAATAAAATTTTTAAAAATTGATGAAAAACATTATTACTTGAGAAATATTGACTAATAATCTGTTTTCGTACAGTAAGGTAGAAGCACCAGTGAAAGAACATATTGACCATTTTCCATAATTATTTAAAAATTATGGTTTCTATTCTGGTAATTAATGTTTTTATTAACCTAATTATTTCCAAATCTTATATGTGATATGTCATATCATATGCAGACTTAAAATGCAAAGTACTTTCGAAAATAATTTTTAAACTTTAGTAGGTAACGACAGAGGGTCGGGCAAATGCGAATTCGGTGACTTGCGTAGTCGGCGCGTTAAAACGTTTGGCAAATAATAGTTCGGAGAGTTGAATGTTTTGACAAATGCCAGTTCGGTGATTTTAAAGTTCGGACAAATGCAAATTCAGGGATTTATAAGCTCTGACTTTTGCAAATTTGGTGAGTTAAATATTCTGCTAACTGCGAGTTAGAAAGTTTAATATAACAAATTATAAATTTATTTACATTATTATTTACTGAAATTTAACAAAAAATAATTTCCCATATACCGAATTGTAATTTCAGTAAATAATAATGTAAATAAATTTATAATTTGTTATATTAAACTTTAGTGTAAAATTTATTTTGGATTAATAAAATACTTGTGTATATTAATTCAGTACTATCCAATTTATGGTATATAAGAATTCTGAAACATTATTTTTCGATTATTTAACAGATGAATTAATTATTAAATATGTAACATTACATTTTATGTATATTATCATTAGATTAAAATATGATAAGATAAATTAAATATTAAGTTAAATTAAATAATGTCAAAATTAAAAATCTCATAAATCATAAATCAAATATTTTAAGGTTATGCTATTTTTAATTTACATTAAACAAGAAATTTGTTAAACTACAATTTTAAAGTAAAAGCATTGGTTTCAGATATCATTAATACATTTTAAAAATAGGTTAGTTTTCATTTCATCAATATTGAAATTACTCTAAAAAATAATTCTAAAAAACTGATTTTATTTCAAAGTGTACTTTAGTTGAATTAATTTTGTAAAACTTTCAAATTCTATCAAAAAAAAATATTTCAAAAGAAAATTTTTTTATACTAAAGTTATGGCAAAAAGACATTCTGATAGGTA